ACGAGAAGAAGGAGATGCACCACCTCTTCGTCAAACTGCTGGTATCAGAACCCACGCCGACGGTTGCAAGACAATACGAATACAGGTTTCGGAAAAGCGAGGCAGCAGACAAAGGGCAGTTTGATCTGCGAGATGTTGACAAGACCACCATCGCGTTGAACGACATTACGAAAGGTTCTCAGGGAGTCTGGTTTGACGATCAGGCGGGGGGGGCGAAGTGAGCCAGGAGTTGAGTGACAAGATCAAGTGGGCCATCGAATCGGACATAAAGAATGACACGAGCAGGCCGCTCAGGACAGATAAAAGGCGCGGTATCTACATCGACGTGGACACGAACGCGCTGTGCCGACTTGATGGTGGGGAAATTCCTGAAGTTCCAGAACCACCTCAAGCCGAAGATAGTGAAGCGGCCTGGCGACCGGAGATAAAGAAGGAGAGGTATACTGAAGGGGCCCTGGGACACCCAAATAAATACACACAAATAAACATATTCTCCATATTTTCTAATATTTTCTGGATTTCTGTCTTCCCCACCACTTCCCATATTTTCTGGGGAGTCGACGATTAATTGTGACTGCGTGTTTCTTCCCCTCCTGAATAAAGAAGGAGAGGTATACGCCGACCACGGAGGAGACTGCACTGCACGAGCTCGCGCGCATGCCGCTCAGGGGCCGGTGCAAGCGGTGCCTGCAGGGGCGCGGCAGAGAGGAGGCGCTCGCGGCAGCGAACCCAACGGAGGGGCCAATCTTGCCAGACACTAGCATGGACTACTCCTTCGTGATCGCCGAGCTGGAGACGGAGATGGTCACGATCCTGCGAATGCCTCAGGATCCCGAGGACCCCGTCGCGTCGATCACGGTCGTTCACACAAGGCCCATCGAGTATGTCAACTCAGCAATGGAGTTCTACATCGACGTATGGGGCTCAGCCGGCATCATGCTCAAGGGTGATGAGGACGCATCGTCCCAGGCGGTGGCCACGGCGGTCAACAACAGGAGGGAACACAGCCGTCGAAGGGCTGTCAGCAGAACAATGGGGCGGTCGAGGATACCGTAGCGCATGGAAGCCACACTACGGACACTTCACATCCAGCTGGGGTGCAACCTGGAGGTGAAGATACGTCCGAAGAATCTGAATACTCCCTCGCTGGTTCGTCGTGTGAGACTATTGCTTACGATGTTTGCGATCAAGACGGACGGCAATACAACGTGGGATAAACTGGGACGAGCAAGGTACACACCGTAGCTCGGCAAAGCCGAAAAAAACGGTCGACAACAAGATACGCGCACGCGTAATATTCTGGGATGATGTGAACTCATATTTCGGATGGAGTCTGGGGCAGAATCGTATCCACATCGCAGTACGAAAGGAAGGGCGATTAACTCCAGGGGGTGTGCGGGGCAGATCTGAATATAGTATATAAAAGAAACGAAAAGATAATAATCAACGTGGTGCAATCTATGATGTGCAACCCGTGTGCTGCAATCAACGTGGTGCGTTCCATGTGGTGCAATTGATTTCTGCCCGCAAAGAGTTGTCAACTCCACTGCCCGCGCAAACATCCCAACCACCCACCCGCAACTGGGTTGCAAAACCCATGCGGCGGAGGTGGCTGGAGGGTTTTTGGTGTTTGCGGAAGGCTGCAGGAGTTGTGGTGTTTTTCGTTGCAAGTGTTTGGTGTTCGCTGGAGGATTTCTTTGGCCGTGCTACCCTGCTCACGCTCGCGTGCGCAACGGTCAGCTAATTTGGCGCGACCGACGCGGCCGCGGTTGCGCTGACCGATGGGCACGTCCCACCGGGCACTTCACTTCGATTCGGCGACTTGGGCGGGCGCGGTGTCATGGCAATGTCGACAAGGGTAAACACGATGATGATAGTAGCGGTGTTGGCGACGATCGTGGCAGCGGCGACGGCACGGCCAGTGGCGGCGCCGATGCGGATCACGCAGGCGACGATGACGATGTCCTCGCGTCGGTGATGAAGGTTGTGGAAGGAGTTCGACGTGCGCGCGCGGCCGACGCGCTAGTGGCCCGCATTGTATCATTTGACGCGGATCGTGCCCCACAGCGCGCGCCCAAAGGCGTTCGAGTGATTCTGACATGCGGCGCGACTGGCTCGTTTGGGAGTCCAACGAACATGTTAAAGGACCGATGGTTTTCTTGAGAATTCGCATGGGCGCCGTTTTAACTCATTGTTTTGAAAAAGATGGCGCTGCGAAGCAATGTGTTTGATATGTGTGTTTGGGCACTCGCTTTTGAAACCCGCACGACACCCAATGTTTATGAAGGGTTTTCGCATGCGCGCGCGACGGCGCGCGTGCGCAGTTCGTTCCAATTTGTGCAAAGGGATCTCGCGACAGCACGCGCGCAAGGGCGTTCGAAAGATTTCGACATGTGCGGTCGAAGCTCTTTGGGTACCATGTTCTGGCCATGCTGAAACAACCGATGGATTTTTCGAGAATTCGCAAGGGCGCGCGCATTTTTTTGATAATCAGCAACGTTGCGAAATTATGGTTGTTTATTCTAATGTGTTTCGGGCACTCGATTTTGACGCTTGTTCGACGCCGAAGGTTTTTGACGGATTTCGGCGCGCGCGCGACAACGAGCGTGTGTCCACGTCGTCATATGTTTTGCAAGGGGCCCTTGCACGCTGATGCAATGTGATGAAAGACTGTACGCGCATACGGTTTTTTGCACAGGATGGTGGGGGAGATCGATACCGATCGGGCTGGGATGATACGAGTTATGTTTCGGATGGATGGTGGGGCAAAATCATATGCAACTTGCAACACGAGGGCGGGTACCGAGAATCCCGGGGGTACTCTTTTTCCTTTTGAGAAAAGCGAAATGGCTACCCTGCGCCGCGCTCGGCCAACCCCCAAATAATTGCAGACATCTCCCCCCAAACCACCCGCATTTTGGTTTGCAAACCCCGTGCGGCGGCGATTGCGATGAATGCTCGGCGTTGGCTGGTGCATCCCTGCGGCCGCGCTGACCCGCGCACGCTCGCGCGCACAGCGGCCAGTTACTTTGACGCGGCCGACGCGGCCGCGACGCGGCCGCGGTGACCGCTGGGCACCTCCGAACGGGCACGTCAGTGCGAGTCAGTGACCGGGGCGGGCGCGGTATCACAGCGACGCCGAAAACGGTAGGCACGAGTGTGAGAGTAGCGATGGTGACGAAGGTGGCGATGCCGACGGCAAGGCCAATTACGGCGCCGATGTTGATCACGCCCGCCGATAACGATGACGATGTCCTCGCGGCGGCGATGCAGGTTGTTGAAGGGATTCGACATGTGCGCTCGGCCGACGCGCGCGATTGGCCCGCGTGGTATTATTTGACGCGGATCGTGCCCCCCCCCAGCACGCGCGCAAGGGCGTTCGAATGAGTTCGACATGCAGGGGAGAAGCCCGCTTGGCAGAATTGTATGGCATTGATTGACAACCGATGATTTTCTTAATGATCCGCATGAGCGCGAGCGCAGGGTTTTTGGAAAACTGTTGTTGCACAACCGAATGTTGTTTTGTATGTTTCGGGGCACTCGGCTTCGAAACCCTTACGGAAACGACCAGTGTTCAAGGATTTCAGCATGCGCGCGAGACGACGCGCGTGCGTGCACTCCGTCGCGCCCTCTGCAAGGGATTATTGCGACAGCACGCGCGCAAGGACGTTCGAGCGATTTCGACACGCGCGCGCGAGAGGCCAAGTTGCAAGCATGTTATGAACATGTAAAACACGCGACGGCTTTTTAGATGCGTGAAACCGGAATTCGCAAGAGCGCAGGCGCAAACTTCTTTGAGTGGTTGAGAATTCGTGCCGCAAAACCATGTGTTTTAACACATATCCGTCGCACTAGATTTTGAAGCCTTTGCGTCAACGAATGTTTGTTCAAACTTTTCGACATGCGCTCGCGTGCACTTCGCCCCGTCTGTTGCAAGGGATTCTGGACAACTGATGATGTTTAAGAATCAGAGTGCGCACATAGTATGTTTTGCCAATGGTGGCGCGGGGGGGTGGATACTGGCCCGGCGGGGATGGTGCGAAGTCATATTCAGGATGAGCGACGGGGCAGAATCGTATGCACATTGCAGATTGCAAGGGGGGGATCGTTAACTCCGGGTGGGGGGGGTGGGGGGAAATCCTGACACACGTTCAGAAAGGAGAATCTAAGCTTAAGTCATCAGAGGGGGATGAGCATTGCAACCCACGTGCAGGGTTGGACGGTGAGAGGGCGAAGTCATACTGAGGTGAATACTCGGGTGAAGATTGAAACGGTGAAGGCGCGAGAGAAGATCCAGGTGGAGCTCCAGGTGCATATTGCAAGGCATGTTTGAGTGGAGAGAGCGCAAATGTTCAGGTGAAGGTGAAGATTCAGGTGAAGATTCAAACGGTGCGAGCCCAGAACGTAAGATATGAGTGACGTCATGTCCTACGTCTTTCCAGTGCGTATCTGGCAGTTGTTTTCCTGAGCGCCCGAAGTTGGCTCCTGACTGACATGTTCGCTCGGCGTGTACCTATTTGTTTCTGCTTTCGATGCTGCGATGTCACTCGCCGCTGAATCTGGGGATGCGTCCTGGTCATTGCCTGGAGCTCCCGGGGATCTCGCGGACCCGTTCTCGGCCCAGGTCGATTCGACAGTCCTGGGCTGGCAAATGGCATCCAGAGGCCCGACAACTCTGGAAAAACGACCGTCGCGATTTGCATTGCGTCGCCATGATCTCAAGGTCCCCCCTCCCCCTCCTGCCCTCATCCCCTCCTTCCCTCCTCCCTCACCCCTCCTGTGTCCTTCGTTTCCGCGCGGTCCGCCGCCCCCCCTCGTTTTGTGCTCGGCTTTGGGCTGCCTGGGGTGCTCAGTGTCTGGCTTCCCTGTCGGGGGAAGGCGACGAACTCACTGCATAATTCCTGCTCCTGGCGCGCGGGGTGCGTGCCGCCAGAGAGGGCACAACGGTTGCGCTGATGCCATGTCCGATCTCGCTCCTGCTTGCCCCAGGTCCCGCCCGCCTTCTTGTCCGCTTTCACCCAGAGCTTCGCGACCGTCTTGGCACGCCGCCTCCCAGCACGCTGCAATGCCCAGGGAGGAGGGGGGGGCGGGAAAGGAGAATAGACAGGGTAGGAGGGGGGTGAAGCAGGAGGAGGGGGAGAGGAGGGAGGGAGGAAGGGGGGAGGAGGAAAAGGAGGCAGAGGGAGGGGGAGGCATAAGGGAGAGGGGAGCAGAGGGAGGGGGGAGACGGGTGCGCTGCTCGAGGAGCGAGCTGGCAAGCTACCCAACAAGCAGGGAGAACACTATGATTAGGTCGGACCTGTCCCCCTTTTATAGACGAAGAACTGCTGAAAAGATGCCCCACAATACTCAAAACATAGTCCCCAGCCTATGTTGTGACTATGTTTGAAAATTCCCCCTGTAGAGGGACAGGCCCGACTTAACACTATGAGATCGAAACCCACGTGCGTCCTACACGTGGCGACTTCTCGCTGGTTCTGTCACTTTCTGTTGGTCCCCAACTTCTGGCACGGGTCGCAGCCCCAGCAACAACTCCGTCAGCGTCGCCTTCAAGCGCGGCGCACCAACATCAGGGTCACCTCAGGTCAGGACATCTCGAAGGCAAGGACTCCGAGGATGTCTCAGGCGAAACGGGCGTGAACACCTCGCGGCACACGTCTTCGAACCCAGAATTTGACTACCTACCAGACCACCCCAACCCAACCCGAAGACCAGAATTTCGGGTTGGGGGGGTAAGGTTCCACATGTGTTTTTTCGATGTTTCCCGACCCCCCCCACTGGAAATCGAGGGTAAATCTGAGCCTTCGGGTTGGGTTGGGGTGGTTTGGTGGGTGGTGAGAATTGTGAGGAAGTCTCAAGCGAAACGGACCAAGCCACAGCAATTCAGGGCATCTCGCAGCAGCCCGGGGCTCGGAGAACGCCTCGGGCGAAACGGGCCCTGGCACCTCGCGAGCCACACCTCTTGGAACTCAGAGCCGTGAGGATGTCTCCGGCGAAACGGGCTAGTGCACCACGCGAGCCGCACCTTGAAATATCGAAGCGTGAGTTTCGAAGGAGAAAAACCAAATAAACAAAAACTTTTGGCGCTCCGCGAGATTTTTCGGGATTCAAGCCTGGGCCCCCCTCCCTGGCGCGCGGAGCGCGCCAGGGGCGGCGCAGGAGGCGCCGCCGGGGGGACCCAGGCGCGGATCCAAGAAATCCGCGCGGAGCGCCAAAAGCTTATGCTCATGTGGTCTTTTCTTCTTCGAATATTGGAATACAGAAGCGTGAGTTGCGAGGATGTCTCATGCCAAGCGGGCCAGAGAGCCTCAAGTCAAGTCACCTCGGAGCCTGGTGTCCCAAGGCCGTCTCAGGCGAAACGGACCAGAGCACCTCGCGAGCCGCAGCTCGAGCCCAGAGCTGCGAGGACGTCTCGCGAAGGCTGGGGTTCTGAGGATGTGCCAGGGAAGATGTCTCAGGTGAAACGGGACTGAGCATCTCAAGTCAGGGCATCTCAGAACCCGGGGGTCCGAGGGTGTCTCAAATGAAGTGGAAATCAGCACCTCGCGAACCGCAGCTTCAACCCAGAGTTGCGAGGACGTCTCAGGACAAGCGGTCAGAGCCAAGGATTCCAAGGATGTCTCAGGCGAAACGTGCCTGAGTACCTCAAGAATCACATCTTTGAACCTAGAGTGGTGAGGACGCCTCAAGCGAAACAGGCCAGACCACCTCAATTCAAGGCAGATCGAAGCCTGCGATTCCGAGGGTGTCTTACGCAAAGCGGGCCTGAGTACCTCGCGAATCACATCTTGGAATCCAGAGTTGTGAGGACGTCTCAAGCGAAACGAGACAGAGCGCATCAAGTCAGAGCATCTCGCAGCCCGAGTTTCCGAGGATGGCTCTCTGTGGGCACTGGGGCGCACCAAACTCTTTTGAAGGCAACCTCTCCCCGGCGCCTCCCCGGCACCACCGTTGGGGTTGCCGGTGTCGCCTGGAGCTGTCCTGGGCGACCCGGGCACCTGGGCTCAGGTGCACTGCCCCCCCCGCCAGCCAAGGTAAGCCCTGGATGGGGCCGAAAATGCCTCCACAATCAAACCGAAATGGCCAGCGAAGACCATACGGCTCTGAAACACACCTCAACCCCGTACAATAAAGGGACCGTTCGAGACATCCCTACTATCTGGGCGCGAACGGGCCCGTGACACACACTTCGTCGACAGAGCACTGGCCCGCATCACTGGGCACAATCGAGCCGCGTCGAGAAGTGTCCCGGGAGCATTGAAAACAAGAACACTTGCCTGACAGCAATACGAACATTATCCTTCCTCCCCCTCGCTATCAGTCATCCTGCTACTCCTCCTCCTCCCCCTCCTCCTTCGCTTCGCACTCCTCCAGGGTTTCCTCGAATTGCGGGGACGTCTCTTTCGAAATTGGCTGGACCCCCTTGCACGCGCCATCTCTTCGACCAGAACTGCAGGGACGTCTCAGGCGAAACTGATCGGATCACCTCGCGGGCGGCATCTTCAAACCTAGTGTAACGAAGATGTCTCAATCGAAACGGACGAGGCAACCTCAGGTCACGGTATCCCCGAACCCATAAATTTTGAAGGTGTTTTAGGCGGTATGAGCCAGACCACCTCTCGCGTAGCGTCTGGGAGCCCAGAGTTGCGAGGATGTCTCAAGCGAAACGGGCCGACCATGTCAAGTCTGGTCACTGGTCGTTTCGGAACGCAGAGTATGAGGATGTCTGATGCGAAACGGGCCGAACCACTCCAGCGTGTTGCCAATGTCTCGACGCGCGGGCCCCTCGGGCGGCATTCGCTAATACCACAACAATGCCTCCCAGCACCGGCTGGGCGACCCGGGAACACTCCAAGACAAAACCTGTTGTAACTACATACCAGACCATACCATCCTAATCCGAAGACCCTAATTTCGGGTTGTGGGGGTACGGGCTCCACATGTTTTTGTCGATGTTCCCCGACGCCCCCCCACTGGGAATGGACTGCAACGTGGGGCCTTCTGGTTGGGTTGGGGTGAGTTGGTGGCGATGACATTGAATGGAAACAAGCGAAAACTTCCCACATGTGTAAATTTGGAGTCCCGATGACAGACCGTGCGGTGACCTCGCAATCCCCCAAGACCTCACCGCACGGTCCGTCAACGCACGGCTTCGGGACCTCGGATGCTCCAGTGGCCCGAGACGTCCTCGGAGAACGACCCGAGTCCCAAAACCGTGCGGTGACCCCCAATCCCCACCGACTCGCCACACGGTGTTGAAGGGGCCCCAGGACACACAAATAAATACACACAAATAAAAGGATTTCCCAGATTTTCTTAGATGTTCTGGGATTCTGCCTTCCCCACCACTTCCCATATTTCCCATATTTCCTGGGGGATCGACGATTCATTGTGTCTGTGTGTTTCTTTCCCCCCTGAGTCGGGCCGGGCGAAAGGGGGGGATAGCAAAGGGGGGGTTTGAGAATCAGCTCACGTAGCTGATTTTCCCGGCGCCTCCCGGCGCCGGAGGCGGCTATGTATCGAGGAACGGGCCCCTCGGTGGGGCCGACACCAGCTACATGCAGCAGATTTCGTAACCCCCCCTTTCCCAAACCCCCCCTTTCGCCCCACCCGACTGAGGTGTGGTCACCACCCCGCTTGGGGGCCCCCGACGGAAGGCCGGCGTCGTGCCGGTGTTGCCGGCGTCGGCCGGGGAGGAGCGGGGGCGAGGAGGAGGGGGGGAGCGAGAGCGGCGGGAGGGTCGGCGGGGGGGAGAGGAGGGGAGCGGGGACCGGGGCAAGGAGGGGCGAGGGGAGGGGAGGAGAAGCGAGGGCGGGGGACGGGGCAGCCTGGGAGGGGCAGGAGAGAGGAGGAGGAGGAGGGAGAGGAGGAGCAGCGCTCCGCTGCGATGAGGTAGGAGCGAAGCAAATGCGCAGACCAGCGCCAACGCTCAACCTTGCCCAACCTGCTGTCTTGCTCGGAGACCCGGGCAAGATGATGACGATGATGGTGGTGATGATGATGATGGTGGTGGTGATGATGATGATGACGATGATGCTGATGATGCTGATGATGCTGATGATGCCGATGATGATGATTATGATGATTCTGATGTTGATAAGGAGGGAGGGGGATGAGGACTAGGAAGGAGAGAACGAGGCCTACGGTCTCACCCTCTCCCAGAACGCGCAGCATCGCCTGAGGCGGTGCTGGGGCCATCTGGAAGGGGCCATGCTTCGTTTTGAACTCTGAGCAACCGCGATGGGCCTGCGGGAGCCCTCCAGGCGAGTTCAAGGCGGCTCCCCACTGGTCATTAGGGTCGTCTGACGGACCTCAAGGCTCCAGACCAGTCGACCTGGCTGACGACCGTAAGACCAGTCAATCGCCATGGCCCGCCGCCCAAACCCAGAGCCCACAGACCTCAAAAACACCATCCACCCACCTATTCAAGAAGGCCCCAAGTCAACCGTCCACAGGCCCGACATGCCTCAGCAACATTTCGAAGACCGTCGAGGCGGCCCATGACTGCTCTACTTGTTCCGTGTCTCGGTCCTCCCGATTGCTCACGCCAGTGGCCTCCTCCTGCACTGTGGGGGGGACTCCTCTGGAAGCGGTACACGGATTACGGATCCGTGGATCTGGCGCCAGAGCCAGAGATCGGGGAAGACATCCCGCCAAGCATGACGCGAATGCCGCCCGATTTGGCGACGGGCGGCTCGTCCACGCGCCTAGATATACTTACGTTTCAGCACGCCCTGTCATGGAGAGCTATCTCAGCTGCCTCTTTTCCCCCTCTCGCGCACATCCCGATTCTCCAACGCGCAACCACTAAAGACTCAGCTGCGTGTCTGGCTCCCCTGAAGGGCTGCCGAGGAAGATCACACGCAAACGCCATGCGCAATGTGGGAGATCCTATTAGCCTGCTTTGTCGGCGCGCACAGGACATACGAAGGGCCGGGCAAAGGGGGTGGACGTCTGAGAGGGTACCTGCTCCCCTCAGAAGCATTCCTGCCTTCTCAGAGAAGCCCTCCTGCCTTCTCTAGAGAAGCCCTCCTGCCTGTTCTACACAATTAAGAACGGCACATCCGCCAACTCTTGAAGGTCCGCGCGGATTTCTTGCATCGGCGCTGGCCCCCCTCCCTGGCGCGCGGAGCGCGCCAGGGGCGGCGCCGGAAGCGCCGGCAAGGGGGACCCAGCGCCGGTCCAAGAAATCTGCGCGGAGCTTCGAGGAATCTGTTCATGCAGCTTTGTCTTCGAAGGAAGTAATTTTCTCGAGAGGACTCCTAGAGCCGCCCTCACCGCCCTTCTCCCTTCTATGCGCGGCCGAGTCTTGGAGCGCGCGGCATCCATCGCTTTGGGAACCGATGTGTCAGGTCCCCAATGAACGCAAATATTTTCGGGCCCTGGGAGGGCCCAAGGGTCCTCCTGCGAAAAACAAGCCATGGACTCATAGAGGAAAAGGGGCTCCTCCCATTGCGCCAGTCCCCCCCTCTTGGGACCCTCAAGCCGGCCCGAGATCGGGCGCCGCGGCCTTCTCAGAGCCTTCCGGAACGCTCTGGAACGGCTTCCTCCTCGTCCTGGCCTCGTCCGATGGACTGCACACCTGTATCCGCTGGTGCCTGTAGGGGGTCACATGCGAACCCTGCCCCTACCCCTACCCCCCTCCTCCTCCTCCTCCTCCTCCTCCTCCTCCTCCTCCTCCTCCTCCTCCTCCTCCTCCTCCTCCTCCTCCTCCTCCTCCTCCTCGTCCTCCTCCTCCTCCTCCTCCTCCTCCTCCCTCCTCCTCCTCCTCCTCCTCCTCCTCCTCCTCCTCCTCCTCCTCCTCCTCCTCCTCCTCCTCCTCCTCCCCCCACGATTTCTGAGGGGGAGGGTCGGGGCAGGCTTCGCATGTGGCCCCCTAGCCTGGGGACTTTCTGCCGGCAGCTGAACCGGCGGGCCGCGCCGGGCACCGTGCACGCCAGAGCTTGGCTCAGGTCGGGCCCGTCCCTGTGCAGGCGGATCTTCTGCGAAAAAGCGACAAGAGTGAAGGAATACAACAAAATAGTAAAACAAATCGTCCCCAGATTATCTTGGGACTATTTCTGAAGACTCCCCCTGTAGAGGGACGGGCCCGGCTGAAAGCCCGTGGAACAGCAGGGAGGGGGGGGGCCCGCGGAGGCGGAGGGGGCGGGGAGGAGGTCCAGCCGAGAGTGTCTGGGAGCAGGTCGGTGGACAGGCCTCCTCGGGGCTCCTCTCCTAGACATCCAAGGGTTAGGGAGCCCGCAAAGGATGTACGCGCCCAACTATGCACATGAACACGGCCCCTCGATCCGCGAGACCGGCCGCATGATACGAACATTCGCGCACTGCCTACTCTCGAAACCAGCGTGGATTCATGTACGCGTGCGTCCTTTTTTCGCTCCTGAAGGATGTCTTCCTTCTTGCTGATCCATGACCCAAAAGCTCCCGATCCCTTACCTCGGGACAGCTTCCCCTCCTTGGTGCATGTATTGCAAGGGCATTTTTTTGACTATCCCAAGGCCTGGAACGGCCCCCGGATGTCGAGCTTGGGGAACAACGACGGGATCGAACAAACCAATCAGTCGGAGGAACGGGCGTCTCCGCTGTGGAAAAATAAGAACAACACGGTTCAGATCAATTCCGGCTCCGTGAAGGGACCAGCACGCAAACCTGATCGTCAGACTGCAACACAGCCCGGGCATCACGTGTCCGATCCTGTCTGCTCTCTCGTTCATCCTGCTCCTTTTCCGCTGCTCTCCTCATTCAGCTACCTTCTCTGTGACATTACCTCCGAACTCCGCCCCTCGTTCCGCTCGATGACCGCGGGATGTCCACTTCCAGCTTTCGACGTGCGGGCCCCCCAAAAAGAAGCACGAGGCACCAGTGCGACAGCGGTATCCGGGAAGGCGATCATACCAGTAGGCCACCACATCATCTCGGGAACTGGAGGGGTGAGCACGGGTACGCTGTCCTCTTCACAGACAACTAGAGACAAAGACCTCACTGGGTCTTGGAACTCACGGAGGCTACCGGGGCCAGATCCATCCAAAGAGGGTCACCGCTCTTCTGCCCCAGCAATAGGATATTGGAGGGGTTGCCAGTCCTCCTTTGTTGAACCCTCCTCCTCCTCCTCCTCCTCCTCCTCCTCCTCCTCAACAGCAAATGCGTCTTCAACGCGTCCCGACCCATGCGACAATGATCGCCAGAACTTCCCACCCCTCCCCCCTCCGACGCTCTTCCGGAAGCTGCTGCTGGTGCGCGCTGTCTTCTTCTTCCTCCATCACCTCTTCGGTCACCTCGTACCACCACTTTGCCTCCTACAGCGGGAGAAGATTCATCTGATGGTGGGGAAGGAGGAGAAGCAGCAGGGGGGGGGAACCGCCTCGATGGCGCAACGATCTGGCAAGATGCACACCGCCAACAACACACAGTCCCACCATCCCGTGCCTCAAGTTGCATCATCCGGGGACCTTGTCCGTCCCATCGCGCCGCTATCCTCGTCGAGTCCGCGTCGAACCCTC